ATATATATATTATATATATATATATATTATATATATATATATATAATATATATATATATAATATATATATATATATATTATATATATATATATATTATATATATATATATTATATATATATATATTATATATATATATATATTATATATATATATATATAATATATATATATATAATATATATATATATATATTATATATATATATATAATATATATATATATAATATATATATATATATATATATTATATATATATATATATTATATATATATATATATTATATATATATATATTATATATATATATATATTATATATATATATATTATATATATATATATTATATATATATATATATTATATATATATATATTATATATATATATATAATATATATATATATAATATATATATATATAATATATATATATATAATATATATATATATAATATATATATATATATATATATATATATATATATATATATATATATATATATATCAGATTGAATACGACATAACCATTACATTGCTAGTCTCTCAGGCAATGCAGTGACCCCGCAAACAGCAGGTAAGGCAGGTTCCGAGTCGTCGCTGGAAAGTCTCTCGTGAGGGAGATGACTTTGCATTGTTCCTCTGTTGAAAGTGTGAAGCGATGGTGGTATAGTGGTGAGCATAGCTGCCTTCCAAGCAGTTGACCCGGGTTCGATTCCCGGCCATCGCATGACTTTTGACTCAAAAGGAGAGAGAGAGTGAACGAGAGAGGGATGACAGACGATTGTTGTGATATTTCCTTGCCTAATATATTACTGTATTCCCTAATAGAGCAGCAACGTAATGATCATTTTTTATTCATTAAAACAAAGCACATAATGAAAAAATAAGTTCACGCACACATGAATTGTTTATCATCTGCCATTATTGACTGTTGTCATAATCATACTATTACTTTTATCGATATCGATATCACTTTTACCCAGTTACTCCCATAAATACTAACTTTATTTTATTGTTAATGATCTTTTGAGGGGGAAGGGAAGGAAAGAGAAAGAGAATGCGAAGTGTGAAAGATGTGAAAGAATGAAAGGAGGAAGCAGAGTGCGGTGGACCTCTTCCGCTTCCGCGTTTAAAAAAGAAAGTAAGAAAGAAAGATGTTTCTTCTCAGCAGCGTACGAGGAGGCAAAGTGAGGATAATATAGACAGAATAACAACGGTAACTCATGACTTAAAAGGACACCGAGGAACAACCTGAGCATCTAGTTAAAGAAATATAGAATGGGAACATTGGAAATTAAACGAAGCTAAACTCCGTTTTGGTCACACAGAATGGGTGTTGCTCCGCCCCCTTTTTTCTAACGTAATAAAAACCTTACGATTTGGCAGCTTGTTATAAAACCTCTTGCAAATTGCCAATTATGATGCTGTACCGAAGTCAGAGAAACAGCATGAAGCAAGTCTAGAATAAAAGGGATAGTCAAAATCATTATCTATCGTATATAAAAAATGATAGGAAGCCAGTTTAAAAGTTATAATTTTTGCAGATACACACATGGTATACATACAGAATCATACGTGTAGACATGCATAAATACAGGCATATACGTACATAAAAACACAGACACGTATGTACAGTATGAGTATATGCAGATATACACGTGTTTTTTGTGGAGATAAATTAAAAGTGTGTGTAGCTAAATAGACAGATATATTGAATACAAAACAGCTCCCACTTTATCTGTTCCTTGTCTGTATGACTACCTGATTGTTTTTTCTCCCAACATATTCTTTTCTTTTTTACATTGTTGGTCTGGCTGTTTACATCTGTTCCCTGTACTCTCTCCCTCTCTTATTTTCATTTACTTTTTCTTGTTTGATTCTTCTTTCTCCTACGTTTCTTCCGTTATTATTTTGCTTCTCTGTTTCTCCTCTCGCCCTTTCACTTTTCATCTCTTTCACTCCTTCACCCGCTTATTCCCTCTCTCTCGTTCACTCTTCCTCCCTCCTTCTCAGTCAAAAGTCTTGCGATGGCCGGGAATCGAACACGGGTCAACTGCTTGGAAGGCAGCTATGCTCACCACTATACCACCATCGCTTCACGTTTCCAGAAGAGAAACAACAGAAAGTCATCTCCCTCACGAGAGACTTTCCAGCGACGACTTGGATACCTACTTGCCTGTTGTTAGCGAAATTAACGTATTCCCTGATAGAGCAACAATGCAATGGTTATTTCCTATTCATTAAAACAAAATAAACAAAACTATATAAAGTAAATGCACGCATTATTTGTCATGTCACTATTCACTGTTATAATTCTAACCCTCATTGTTCATACTTTTGTTTTTTTGGATATCATTATCATTATTGTCTATTTAATTCTATAAATGCTACCTTTATTTTAATATAGGATAGATAATAATATTGAGCATCCCTTATATTCAAGATTTCCGTCATACTCTGTTTCTCTGACATCATGATGTTTTTTCAGCAAGTCAGTTCCATGTAGTGACCTGAATTGCATTCTCATTGCAGCGGCATCCAAACGTTTGGCGCCACCGATCTGTTAGAGGATGCCTGGTGCCGCTCTGGACTCTGTTTTCTAGAAACCGGTCGTGTGTTTAAACCAAGAAACCGCTGTGTATCGTCCCGCCTCAACCTCCGGTCGCCTAAGACAAGTACGAGTGACGATTTTAGGATGCAGGAAATCAAAAGTTTAGGCCGGATATTCTGCTGTTATTCGTGAGTTATATATCAACGTGATCGGTTTTATTGATTTGTGTCTCGTATTTTTTCTTTCTTTTTTCTTTTAATGAACATTATTTTATGCCCCAGGAATATCCATCATATCCACCATAATATATAACAATAAAATCAAATTCTAATTAATACTGAAGTGTAAAATAACGTAGCGTAATTATTTGCCACAGTTAATGAGAGATGCTCACGCTGCCACAGAGCACCTTTTAAGATGCTAACCTTGTTTTCAGTTCCTCTTATCTCCGTATAAGCTGGGCGCCATGTTAGACGCTACACTATAGCAAGCTACCATGTTCGTTGTGCATTGAACAGAAAAAATAGAAAAAAAACAACTTAAAGGCGTTGCATTAAGTGTTCAATTTTATCATCGTCAACATATGCAAAAAAAATTCAAGGATACTATATTTTATCTAATCAATCTATTTTTTGAAAATTCTTTCCCTCTTTGCTCAGATCCAGGCAGCCCAGCCTGTATGACTAAAATGGGTTCCAGTGTATATCTTCTCTTCTTTACTCGCCTATATTTTTCCAAAGCACATTTTAACGGTTTATCATTGCTTCTTTGTCCTTTCGTATATTTTCCATAATTTGCGTTTGCCTCCTTGTTCTGTCTCGCTGAGAAGCATCATAACAAGTAATTATACACACATAAACACACACACACACATATATATACATATATTCATATACAGCATATTCAGATATGCTTAGGAACACACACACACAAGATACTGCTTTTAGTGCAAAAAACGCGGAAGCGGAAGAGGTCCACTGGACTCTGTTATATCTTACACATTTGTCTTACCCCTTCCCGCAAAGAAGAAAATAAAGCAACTTCGTAAGAACAAAATAGAACTAATCTTTATGGAAGTAATCGGTCAATAGTGATAAAAGCATCAGTATACGTGCCTGTTATGACAACAATGAACAATAACAGATAATATACAATTCATGTAGGCATTTACTCTATATTTTGGAATTATCTCGTTTTAATGAGTAGGAAATAACTTTTATATTGCTCCTCTATCAGGGAATACAACAGGCTAGGCAGGTAGGTGTCCAAGTGGTCGCTGGAAAGTCTCTCCTGTAGATAACTTTTTATAGTTCCTGTTTTGCAAATGTGAAGCGATGGTGGTATAGTGGTGAGCATAGCTGCCTTCCAAGCAGTTGACCCGGGTTCGATTCCCGGCCATCGCAAGACTTTTGACTGAGAAGGAGGGAGAAAGAGCGACCGAGAGAGACAGGACAGACGATTGAGTGATATTTCCTTGCCTAATCTGTGTAGCGAATATTACTGTACTCCCTGACAGAGCAAGAACGTAATGGGAATTTCCTATTCATTCAAACAAAACACATAATGAAAAAAATTAAAGACGCACCCATGAATTTCTATCATCTGTCATTACTGACTGTTGTCACAATCATGACAAGTACTCTTGTTGTTTATGTTACTTTTGAGGGGACAGGGAAGAAGGAGAATGGGAAAGAGAATTGTGAAAGATGTAAAATAATAAAATGAGGAAGAAGAGTGCAGTGGACCTCTTCCGCTTCCGCGTTTAAAAAAGAAGGAAAACGTGTGTGCATTCGTGTTTTCGTAAAATATCTAAATATGCTGTATATGCATATGAATATGTATATATATGATTAATGTTACATACACTGCCCATGTTCCTCAGCATGATCTGATAACAAGGACGCAAATGCAAAGACAGAACAAAGCAAAGAATAGCAGCAAAGAAGATATACAGGAGGATTATACACATACATGTATATATATATGCATATCTACACATACATACAACACACATCTCTATGAATATGTTCCTCTTCTATATATTCATTACCTAGTTGCACATTTTAAAACTTTTAAGTTGGCTTCCGCTTTTATATAGGATAGATAATGATATTGAGTGTCCCTTATATTCAAGATTAGCTTCATGCTCTGTTTCTCTGACATCATTTTTTCAGCAAGTTAAATTGCATGTAGTGGCCTGAAATGCAGTCTCCATTGCAGAATTGCAAATGGTGACCATCCGAGCGGCATCCAAACGTTTGGCGCCACCGATCTGTTAGAGGATACCTGGTGCCGCTCTGGACCGTTTTCTAGAAACCAGTCGTTTGTTTAAACCAAGAAACCGCTGTGTATCGTCCCGCCTCAACCTCCGGTCGCCTCACTTACTCCTTCACTCGCCTATTCCCTCTCTCTCGTTCACTCTCTCCTCCCTCCTTCTCAGTCAAAAGTCTTGCGATGGACCGGGAATCGAACCCGGGTCAACTGCTTGGAAGGCAGCTATGCTCACCACTATACCACCATCGCTTCACGTTTCCAGAAGAGAAACAACAGAAAGTCATCTCCCTCACGAGAGACTTTCCAGCGGCGACTTGGATACCTACTTGCTTTGCCTGTTGTTTGCGAGTATTAGCGATAGAACAACAATCTAGTGGTTATTTCCCATTCATTAAAACAAAATAAACAAAAAGATATAGAATAAATGTACGCATAGGTTATTCATCATGTCAATATTCACTGCCATTATCCAAACCCTCATTGTTCATACTGTTACTTTTTAGATATCAATATTATTGTCTATTACTTCTATAAATGCTACCTTTATTTGGTTGTTGATGATGCCTTTCTGGGTGAGTAATGTGAAAAATGCAGAAGTGGGAAAGGAATGGCTTGTATGTGTGTTTGTGGGTGTGTTTTCGTGAGTATATCTGAATGTGATTTCCAGCATATGAATATGTATATATATGATTAATGTTACATACACTGCCCATGTTCCTCAGCATGATCTGATAACAAGGACGCAAATGCAAAGACAGAACAAAGCAAAGAATAGCAGCAAAGAAGATATACAGGAGGATTATACACATACATGTATATATATATGCATATCTACACATACATACAACACACATCTCTATGAATATGTTCCTCTTCTATATATTCATTACCTAGTTGCACAGGTTTTAACTTTTAAGTTGTTTTTTATATAGGAAAGATAGTGATATTGAGTGTCCCTTATATTCAAGATTAGCTTCATGCTCTGTTTCTCTAACATCATTTTTTCAGCAAGTTAAATTGCATGTAGTGGCCTGAAATGCAGTCTCCATTGCAGATGATGACCATCCGAGCGGCATCCAAACGTTTGGCGCCACCGATCTGTTAGAGGATACCTGGTGCCGCTCTGGACCGTTTTCTAGAAACCAGTCGTTTGTTTAAACCAAAAACCCGCTTTGAATCGGCCCGCCCAACCTCCGGTCGCCTCACTTACTCCTTCACTCGTCTATACCCTCTCTCCGTTCACTCTCTCCCTCCTTCTCAGTCAAAAGTCTTGCGATGGCCGGGAATCGAACCCGGGTCAACTGCTTGGAAGGCAGCTATGCTCACCACTATACCACCATCGCTTCACGTTTCCAGAAGAGAAACAACAGAAAGTCATCTCCCTCACGAGAGACTTTCCAGCGACGACTCGGATACCTACTTGCCTTACCTGCTTGTTGCGAGTATGAACGTATTCCCACTGATAAGGCAGCAATTGATGGTTATTTCCCATTCATTAAAACAAAATAAACAAAAAGATATAGAATAAATGTACGCATAGGTTATTCATCATGTCAATATTCACTGCCATTATCCAAACCCTCATTGTTCATACTGTTACTTTTTAGATATCAATATTATTGTCTATTTACTTCTATAAATGCTACCTTTATTTGGTTGTTGATGATGCCTTTCTGGGTGAGTAATGTGAAAAATGCAGAAGTGGGAAAGGAATGGCTTGTATGTGTGTTTGTGGGTGTGTTTTCGTGAGTATATCTGAATGTGATTTCCAGCATATGAATATGTATATATATGATTAATGTTACATACACTGCCCATGTTCCTCAGCATGATCTGATAACAAGGACGCAAATGCAAAGACAGAACAAAGCAAAGAATAGCAGCAAAGAAGATATACAGGAGGATTATACACATACATGTATATATATATGCATATCTACACATACATACAACACACATCTCTATGAATATGTTCCTCTTCTATATATTCATTACCTAGTTGCACATGTTTTAACTTTTAAGTTGGTTTTTTATATAGGAAAGATAGTGATATTGAGTGTCCCTTATATTCAAGATTAGCTTCATGCTCTGTTTCTCTGACATCATTTTTTCAGCAAGTTAAATTGCATGTAGTGGCCTGAAATGCAGTCTCCATTGCAGAATTGCAGATGACCATCCGAGCGGCATCCAAACGTTTGGTGCCACCGATCTGTTAGAGGATACCTGGTGCCGCTCTGGACCGTTTTCTAGAAACCAGTCGTTTGTTTAAACCAAAAACCCGCTTTGAATCGGCCCGTCCCAACCTCCGGTCGCCTCACTTACTCCTTCACTCGTCTATACCCTCTCTCTCGTTCACTCTCTCCCTCCTTCTCAGTCAAAAGTCTTGCGATGGCCGGGAATCGAACCCGGGTCAACTGCTTGGAAGGCAGCTATGCTCACCACTATACCACCATCGCTTCACGTTTCCAGAAGAGAAACAACAGAAAGTCATCTCCCTCACGAGAGACTTTCCAGCGACGACTCAGATACCTACTTGCCTTACCTGCTGTTTGCGAGTATGAACGTATTCCCTGATAAAGCAGCAATGTAATGGTTATTTCCTATTCATTAAAACAAAATGAACAAAACGATATTAAGTAAATGCACTCATAGATTATCTATCATGCCCAACTTTATGTGATTATTGATGATGCCTTTATGGGTGAGTATTGGGAAAAATGCAAAATAGAGAAAGGTGTGGCTTGTGTGTGTGCTTGTGCGTGTGTTTTCCTAAGTATATCTGAATGTGATTTACAGCATATGAATATGTATACATATATGATTAATGTTACATACACTGCCGATGTTCCTTAGCAGGATCCAATAACTAGGACGCAAATGTAAAGTCAGATCGAAGCAAGTAACAGCAACAAAGATGTATAGATACATGTATATATATGTGTGTGTGTGTATATTTACACACACATCCATATGTACGTGTTCCTCTTCTATATATTTTCTACCTAGTTGCACATTTTTAAACTTTTAAGTTGGCTTCCGCTTTTATATAGGATAGATAATGATATTGAGTGTCCCTTATATTCAAGATTTCCTTCATGCTCTGTTTCTCTGACATCATTATTTTTTTTCAGCGTGAGTTCCATGTAGTGACTTGAATTGCATTCTCATTGCAGAATTGCAAATGGTGACCATCCGAGCGGCATCCAAACGTTTGGCGCCACCGATCTGTTAGAGGATGCCTGGTGCCGCTCTGGACTCTGTTTTCTAGAAACCGGTCGTTTGTTTAAACCAAGAAACCGCTGTGTATCGTCCCGCCTCAACCTCCGGTCGCCTAAGACAAGTACGAGTGACGAGTTTAGGATGCAGGAAATCAAAAGTTTAGGCCGGATATTCTGCTGTTATTCGTGAGTTATATATCAACGTGATCGGTTTTATTGATTTGTGTCTCGTATTTTTTCTTTCTTTTTTCTTTTAATGAACATTATTTTATGCCCCAGGAATATCCATCATATCCACCATAATATATAACAATAAAATCAAATTCTAATTAATACTGAAGTGTAAAATAACGTAGCGTAATTATTTGCCGCAGTTAATGAGAGATGCTCACGCTGCCACAGAGCACCTTGTTTTCAGTTCCTCTTATCTCCGTATAAGCTGGGCGCCATGTTAGACGCTACACTATAGCAAGCTACCATGTTCGTTGTACATTGAACAGAAAAAATAAAAAAAACAACTTAAAGGCGTTGCATTAAGTGTTCAATTTTATCATCGTCAACATATGCAAAAAAAATTCAAGGATACTATATTTTATCTAATCAATCTATTTTTTTAAAATTCTTTCCCTCTTTGCTCAGATCCAGGCAGCCCAGCCTGTATGACTAAAATGGGTTCCAGTGTATATCTTCTCTTCTTTACTCAGTCGCCTATATTTTTCCAAAGTACATTTTAACGGTTTATCGTTGCTTCTTTGTCCTTTCGTATATTTTCCATAATTTGCGTTTGCCTCCTTGTTCTGTCTCGCTGAGAAGCATCATAACAAGTAATTATACACACATAAACACACATATATATACATATATTCATATACAGCATATTCAGATATGCTTAGGAACACACACACACAAGATACTGCTTTTAGTGCAAAAAAACGAGGAAGCGGAAGAGGTCCACTGGACTCTGCTTCTTCCCTTTTCTCTGTTATATCTTTCACACTTGTCTTACCCCTTCCCGCAAAGAAGAAAATAAAGCAAAACAAAATAGAACTAATCTTTATGGAAGTAATCGGTCAATAGTGATAAAAGCATCAGTATATGTGCCTGTTATGACAACAATGAATAATAACAGATAATATACAATTCATGTATGCATTTACTCTATATTTTGGAATTATCTCGTTTTAATGAGTAGGAAATAACTTTTATATTGCTCCTCTATCAGGGAATACAACAGGCTAGGCAGGTAGGTGTCCAAGTGGTCGCTGGAAAGTCTCTTCTGTAGATAACTTTTTATAGTTTCTGTTTTGCGAATGTGAAGCGATGGTGGTATAGTGGTGAGCATAGCTGCCTTCCAAGCAGTTGACCCGGGTTCGATTCCCGGCCATCGCAAGACTTTTGACTGAGAAGGAGGGAGAAAGAGCGACCGAGAGAGACAGGACAGACGATTGGGTGATATTTCCTTGCCTAATCTGTGTAGCGAATATTACTATACTCCCTGACAGAGCAAGAACGTAATGGGAATTTCCTATTCATTAAAACAAAACACATAATGAAAAAAATTAAAGACGCACCCATGAATTTCTATCATCTGTCATTACTAACTGTTGTCACAATCATGACAGGTACTTTTGTTGTTTATGTTACTTTTGAGGGGGAAGGGGAAGAAGGAGAAGGGGAAAGAGAATTGTGAAAGATGTAAAAGAATAAAATGAGGAAGAAGAGTGCAGTGGACCTCTTCCGCTTCCGCGTTTAAAAAAGAAAAGAAAGAAGGAAAACGTGTGTGCATTCGTGTTTTCGTAAAATATCTAAATATGCTGTATATGCATATGAATATATGTATAGGTACTTCATAAGCTGCCGATGCTTCTCAGCAGTGTGCGAGGAGTAGGCAAAGTGAAGACAATATAGACAGAACAACAACGGCAACTCATGACTTAAAAGGCCACTGAAGAAAACCTGAACGTCTAGTTAAAGAGACACAGAAGAGGAACATTGGAAATTACACGAAGCTAAACTATTTTTTGGTCACAC